CCGGTTTGGGGGGGCTCCGCGGGGGCGATCTCGGGTGGCACTGGGTGGGGGGCAGTGATGACAGGGGGTGGGCAAGGTGGCACTTTGTGGTTGGCACTGTTGGGAGAGGGTCTCAGGGTGCCGCCGGGGCTGCTCCCACACGTGGGTGGCACACGTGTGTTCTGGGTGGATGTCAAATGGTGGTGGTGACACAGGGTGAGTGTGGTGACATCACCGGGGTGAGGTGGCACTACGGGGTTGTCACCTGGGGGGTCTAGGGGCATCACCGGGCTGCTCCCGGCTCTGGTGAGCCACGTTTGTCCTGGGTGGGTGGCACAGGGTGTTCTGGATGGTGGCACGAGTGGGTGAGGTGGCACTTTGAGGTTGTCATCTGTCTGGCACCCGTGTTGGGGGGGATCTTGGAGTGCCACCAGGGCCGCCACCTGTCACACGTGGGCAGCACAGGCTATGTCCCGGGGGCACAGGGGACATAGGAGAGGCACCACCAGCACATCTGATGACACCAGTGCTGTCCCTGCCCTGGGTGACACAGCCCCCATTCCCATTGGGGTGATGCAGGGAGCAAATGGGGTGGAGGCTCCTGTTTGGGGGTCAGGGGACCTGGATCTTCCCCCAGGCTGTGCTGGGTGGAGGGGCTCTTACTGGTGCACCCAGTTTAACCAGTAGGAGCTGATTTCCAGTGCCCACCAGCAGGTCTATGGTGGGTTTGGGGTTGCAGAGGACGGTGGTGGCATTGGGGTGGCATTGGGCATCCCCCATGGCCCCAGTGCTGGTGGGAGCAGGGGGTGTGGGGCAATGGGGTGGGTTTGGAGGGGGGATGATGTCACCTCCCCTACCCCAGTGTGGGGATGTGCCCTCTGGGATGGGATGGGGGCAGGGAGGTGACCCTGGCAGGGACCCCAGTGTTGTGCCCCCCATGCCATGGGGGTCCTGCAGCCCAGCCCCGAGCCCCTCATTCATTCTCTGCTGGTTTCTCACAGCCCCCAGTGGAGCCAGCAGCCCCCCCAGTGCCCCAGGGGGATTGGGGGGGAGGGGGGCTCTTCCCCTTCAGCTGCCTCAGTTTCCCCATCATCCCCATTGGGAACAGCATCCCAGTTCCATGGTGGGGAGGGGGGGCTGATTAACCCCTTCCTGGCCAGATGGGGGATCCAGACCCCCCAGCTGATGTTGTCCCACTCCCTGCAGAGCTGCGGGGAGGGCCAGGGGCCCGGCCCCTGCAGTCAGCCTGGTCCCTGCCCGGGACCCCCCACAGCCTGAAGCATTTCCCAGTGGATCTGCGCACGTCCATGGATGGCAAATACAAGGAGATCGCTGAGGTGGGTCTGGGGCACACAGCTTGCCAGGTCTGGGGGGTTGAGCCTGTGTTGGGGGAGTGGGGGGGGTTTCCCCTCCATCCTTCCTCCACTCATCCTCCCCAAACCCTCCTTCCTTCCCACTTGTTCAGCTCTGAGTGTGGGAATCCCTGTGAGCCTTTCTCTGCCAACCCAGGGGCTGAAGTTCATGGCAGGGCTGAGGCTGCACCCAGCTTGTGGCAGGGCTGCTCTGAGCTCAGCTCAGGGCTCTGGACACAGCTCAGTGATGCTCTGGGCTCAGCTCACAGCAGGGCTGCTCTGGGCTCAGTTCAGGAATGCTCTGGGCTCATGGTAGGGCTGCTCTGGGCACAGCTCAGGACTGCTTTGGGCACAGTTCATGTCAGGGCTGCTCTGGGCACAACTCATGGCAGGACTGAGGCTGCACCTAGCCCATGACACAGATGCTCTGGGCTCAGCTCAGGGATGCTCTGGACACAGTTCATGTCAGGGTTGCTCAGGGCTCCGCTCAGGGCTGCTTTGGGCTTGGCTCAGGGATGCCCTGGGCTCATGGCAGGGCTGAGGCTGTACCCAGCTCACAGCAGGGCTGGGGCTGTACCCAGCTCACAACAAGGCTGCTCTGCAGGAGCTGTTTTGCCGCTCGCTGGCTGAGAACGAGATGCGCACGGCTCCCTATGAGTTCCCCGAGGAGAGCCCCATCGAGCAGCTGGAGGAGCGGCGCCAGCGCCTGGAGCGCCAGATCAGCCAGGACGTCAAGTAAGCCTGGGGGGTTCCCCTGTGTGCACCCCAAATGGCTGGAAGGGAGCCCTGCATGGGGCCAGGCCACCTCCCCGCCCCAAGAGGCTGTCTCTGTGCCAGCTCTGTGTGCCCTCTCCCGTGGGTGTCGCACTTGGTGTCCCCTTTGCAGTGAGTTTTTGGCTGGTTTCTGTCTGGTTTCTGTTGTTTTGGCATTAACGGGGTGTTTTCTCTCCCCGGCCCCCCCATTTCTCTCCCCCTCGTCCCCCCGGCTGTCCCCCCCCTCCACCGCCGCCTCCTTGTCCCCAGACTTGAGCCCGACATTTTGCTCAGAGCCAAACAGGACTTCCTGAAAATTGACAGTGCTGCGGACTTACAGTGAGTGTCCGGCCCGGTGTCACCGGCCGGGGCCACGGGGGGGATCGGGGACCCGCCTGGCCCCGTCTGACCCAGCACACCCAAGCATGGAGCCAAGAGGTCCCTCCCAGCCACTCTCACCGACACTGAATGCACCTGGGGAGGGGGGTTGGGGTGAGCTGGGGGTCCCAGCTCTGCTGCTGGCACAGGACCCCTGTCCTGGCCCTGTCGTCCCCTGGATGGGGGGGTCTGACGCTGTGTGTCCCCTCCCTCCTGTCTCCGCTTGGGAGCTGTCTCTGTCGTGAGTTTTTTTTGTTCTTTGTGCCCTTCTCCCCACTCCCACTTTTCATTGTGCTCATCAGGGCTGAGGGATGTGTTTTGGGAAGGGGGACAATGCCACCACCAAAAAGGACACGGGTGGCACAGCTGCCACAACCTCGTGGTGGCATCTCTGGGGACAGCGTCACCATCCTGCCACCCCAGGGCTGGACAGAGTCCCTGGGGTGGGGCTCATGCTGCTCTTGGCATACATGGGAATGGGGCAGACCTGTCACTGTCCCACTGGCCACGTCTGTCCCCACAGGCTCTTCAAGGAGCAGAATGACAGCCTGGTGGACCATGTCCCCAAGGAGCGGGAGGCGCTGCTGGAGCGAGAATTCCAGCGGGTCACCATCTCTGGGGAGGAGAAATGTGGGGTGAGCCTCCCCCTGACCCCCCTGGAAACCAGGCAAGTGTCTCCAGGCTGCCAACCCCAGCTTGGGGGGTGGTTTTTTTGTTTTGTGTCCCCTTTCCAGGTGCCCTTCACCGACCTGCTGGATGCAGCCAAGAGCGTGGTGAAGGCTTTGTTTGTGAGGGAGAAGTACATGGGGCTGTCCCTGCAGAGCTTCTGCAAGACCACGGCCCGGTACCTGCAGGAGCTCTCCGAGAAGCCCCTGGAGACCCGAGGCTACGAGGAGGTGCCCGAGACCCCCGTGGCTGCTGGTGAGCACGCTGTGGAGGGGTCTCAGTGCTGAGCTGGGGTGCTGCAGGAGCTTTTGGGGTGATGCTGGGTGTCTCCTGACTGCAGATGCCCCCGTGCACCCCCCGTTTGCTGAGCAGCACCCCTATGAGAAGTGGGACCCCAAGAACATGCCAGCGGATCTTGGCTTCGGGCTGAAGATGGTGGATGGCGTTGTGCACGTCTACACCAAGCAGGACATCACTGACAAGTGAGTTTTGTGAGGGGAGGATCCTTCTCACTGGGGTGATGAGTTTTTTGGTGGAGCTGTGTTACTCTCACGTGTGTCCCCCACCAGGAGCACGGAGCTGGACCTGCCATACCCCGACCTGCAGGAGTTCATCGCCGACATGAATTTCCTCATGGCTTTGATCATCAATGGGCCCATGTAAGGGGAAGGGTCCCATGGGAGGGTCCTACCCTGGGGGGGATCCCATGATGGGGATGTGACCTGACCCCCTGGACAGCCCCAAGGATGTGGCTGTGACTCTGGCACACAGTGCTGGTGCAGCTCCCATGTGCACCCTCACCTGTGTCCAAGAGTCTATGTTCCCATATCTGTGGGGGCACCAGCCTTTTGGGGCTGGATGTTCTGCTTCCTCACCCCAAACTGAGCTCCTCTTCCCTGTTTTGGGCAGCAAATCCTTCTGCTACCGCCGGCTGCAGTACCTGAGCAACAAGTTCCAGATGCATGTGCTGCTCAATGAGATGAAGGAGTTGGCGGCCCAGAAGAAGGTGCCTCACCGTGACTTCTACAACATCCGCAAGGTACCTGGGGATCCTGAGCTAGTCCCAGGTTTTGGGGGGTTCCTGGGGAGCTCTGGGAGGGTCTCAGGGCTGAGCATCACCTCCCTGGTGCAGGTGGACACCCACATCCATGCCTCGTCCTGCATGAACCAGAAGCATCTCTTGCGCTTCATCAAGCGGGCGATGAAGAAGCACCTGGATGAAATTGTCCATGTGGAGAAGGGGAAGGAGCAGACGCTCAAGGAGGTGTTTGAGACGATGAACCTCACCGCCTACGACCTGAGCGTGGACACACTGGATGTCCATGCGGTACGGGAGGCTCCCAAACCCTGGGGATGAGTGAACCCCATCCTTGGTTCTTCTCCAGGGGGTTTTACCAGGAGATGGGGGTTTGGTGGGTGTTGGGGTGGGTGATGAGGACTCTCAGGTCACACCTGTCCCACGTTCAGGACCGGAACACCTTCCACCGCTTCGACAAGTTCAACGCCAAGTACAATCCCATCGGGGAGTCCATCCTGCGGGAGATCTTCATCAAGACGGACAACCGCGTCTCGGGGAAGTACTTTGCCCACATCATCAAGGTGGGCCACCTCCCCTCCTTGTGGTGTAACTCATGTCCCCTTCTGGTGGCCAAGCAGTGACAGTTGTCACTTGTCCCTTCCCATCAGGAGGTGATGGCAGACCTGGAGGAGAGCAAGTACCAGAACGCGGAGCTGCGCCTGTCCATCTACGGGCGCTCGCGGGATGAGTGGGACAAGCTGGCCCGCTGGGCCGTCAGCCACCGCGTGCACTCCAACAACGTGCGCTGGCTCGTGCAGGTGCCCCGGCTCTTGTGAGTGAAGGGGGCACAGGAGCTCTCACTTGGGTTGGGGGGATGCAGCCACCCCACTGTTGGAATTAAATACCAATATTGCCAGATGGAACGTGCCTGGGCTCGTCTGCCCCTTGCTGCTTGACCAAGGGCGGCAGCTGTGGTGGTTTCACCTCAAAAACACCTTTGGCTGGCTGGATATTGCAGCTGGGCACTGGGGACAAGTCCAGGCATGCAGGAGCTCAGGTTTACCTCTGGTGGAGAGGCTTCAAGGCGAGGTGAAGGAAAAGGAGTCGGGTTCTGCCTGGAGGGTTTGGATCCACAGCTTTATTCTGGCCCACAGGCCTCTGAATGCAGCAACAGCTCCAACAGAACTCCCTGAGCCCGTGGGTGCTGTTCCTTTTACCCCAGGGAGAGGGGGAGAGAAGGGGTAGGGAGCCACCAAGCAGGTAAGGGGGGAAGGTCTCGAGATAAATGACCCCTGGATGGCCCAGTGTCCCCGGGGTTGAAAGGCATCTTTGGAACTTCACCAGCCACACAACGTGGAATGCCAAGATTGACGGACAGCACTCAGCAGGGGCAAGGGAGGGGAAGGGAGAGGTTGTTGGCACACCTGGGGAAAGAACCGGGGATGACTGAGACAGGCTGTTACATCACACTGCAACACCCCACTGCTGGCTGTGGTGGGGTGGGGAGGGGGAAAGCTGGCTCTGAGTGGGGTCTGTTCCCTGCAGTGACATCTACCGGACAAAGAAGCAGCTGGCCAACTTCCAGGAGATGCTGGAGAATATCTTCCTGCCGCTCTACGAGGCCACAATTCACCCTGCCCAGCACCCAGAGCTGCACCTCTTCCTGGAGCACGTGAGTGCTGTGTCTTGCTCCTGGGGACACCCCAACCCAAACCCAGCTGGAGCGAGGGGTGGCATCCCACCCTGGGGCTGTCTGTCCTGCAGGTGGATGGCTTTGACAGCGTGGATGATGAATCCAAGCCAGAGCATCACATCTTCAACCTGGATAGCCCTTTGCCAGGCAACTGGGTGGAGGAGGACAACCCACCCTACTCCTATTACCTGTACTACATGTATGCCAACATGACAGTGCTCAACCACCTCCGGCGGTAAGGACATGGCACATCCCCAATTCCCCCATTCCTGGCCTGGAACACACACCCCTCAGGAGGTTCTGGGGAGGTCACAGGGTGATGCTGACAGTCAAACACCCCTTGCAGGAAGAGGGGTTTCCACACCTTCGTCCTGCGCCCGCACTGTGGTGAGGCCGGTCCCATCCACCACCTCGTGTCGGGGTTCATGGTCTCAGAGAACATCTCCCACGGGTTGTTGCTGCGCAAGGTGGGCGGGGATGGGGTGTCTGGGGGGGCTGGGGGTGTGGTGGGACCCCCCCTTACCCTGCTGTGCCCCACAGGCCCCTGTGCTGCAGTACCTGTATTACCTGGCCCAGATTGGCATTGCCATGTCCCCGCTGAGCAACAACAGCCTCTTCCTGAGCTACCACCGCAACCCCCTGCCCGAGTACCTCTCACGGGGGCTCATGGTCTCCCTCTCCACCGATGATCCCCTCCAGTTCCACTTCACCAAGGTGAGCATTTGTGGAGGGCACCAGCCAGTGACCCCCAGAGGGGCTGTGGGGTGGGCACGGCTGGGTGATGGGATGAAGTCAGTAGTGGGGTGGGGTTGGTGGTGCAGTGTGGCTGGTGGTGAGATGTGGCTGATGATGAGGTGGGGCCACTGGCAGCACTGATGGATTCTGGAGGGTGCTGGTGGTGTAGAGGGGATGGGAGGAGGTGGGGACCCCTGTCCTGCCTGAGGGGTCTCTGTGGTGTGGTGGGAGCTGAGGGTGTCTGTCCCCAGGAGCCGCTGATGGAGGAGTACAGCATCGCCACCCAGGTGTGGAAGCTCAGCTCCTGCGACATGTGTGAGCTGGCCCGCAACAGCGTCCTCATGAGCGGCTTCTCCCACAAGGTGAGGCCCGTTCCCTCATGCCCAGTTCTGCAGTTTGCCTATTCCTGATTCCCATTTGCCCCCTTTTCTCCATTCCCTCATTTGCCCAACCCCTTCCCAATTCCTATTTGCCTCCATTCCCATCCCTAATGCCCACATTCGCCCATTCCCATTCCCAATTCCCCCATTCCCAGTTCCCATTCACACCCTGTTCCCCCATTCCCAATTCCCATTCACTCCCAGTTCCTTCATTCCCAATTCCTATTCACACCCAGTTCCCCCATTTGCAATTCCCATTCACTCCCAGTTCCCCCATTTGCAATTCCCATTCACTCCCAGTTTTCCCATTCCCAATTCCCATTCACACCCAGTTG